ATATAAATAAAGGTGAGTAGTCTTTGTACTTGTGCTCCCGCATCTTGACGAATTTTGGCAAGCCAACAGCCATATCCTTTGCATTTTGTGGTTTGTCTCCGAAACGTGATCAAAGACCTTGACTCATGGCCATCAGCCGGTTGCTAAGGGCAGATGCTTCAGCAGCTTCTTGCCAGGGATTGACGTTGCAGGTGTCACAAGTCGCTTAAAGCCTTAAGATCTTAAAGAAAGGATACGCGAAGCACTTGGCAGTCATCAGCAGTCCAGTGAGTCCACTGATAAACACCTCCAAAGCCGAACGGCACGTGTGCCTTGCACTAAATGTGCGGGCATTGGGGCAAGAAACCTGAACACAACACCTCCAAGTAGCTGACTGCTTGCAATCGAAAGATAAGGAGAGAGAAAGAAAAGTGTGTGGCAACATACGGCACACACATGCCAAGATGCCGCCCACTGAGTTTTTGGATTGCCCACCGCCCAGGCTGGAGGTGGAAGCCAAGGACGAGCGCGCCCATGACGTTTTCGCAGCCTTCGACAACGATGGCAGCGGGGTAACTTCCTTCACATGGGCGGAATGTCCAGGGCGGGCCAGTACATCAGGGAGATGAGCACTCCTTGGATGGCAAGTGTGTGGTTTTCCACCAGCTGCTCCATAATTACTTGTGTTTTCTGCATGATGACTTGAAGGCTACCTTTGTCGATTGACTTTGTTGTGTGGGATGAGCAGGCATTGGGTACGCAACGTGCGGTCATCAGCACTGTAGTCAATAGATGTCAATAGTTGAGAGGACATTCGATCTCAGGGAACATACTTGGCGTGAGTGTGCTTCCTGGCGGCCAAGGGGAATTGGCCTTGGTTGGTGCACGCGGGCTTGCAATGCCAAAGCATACTCTGATGATTTTCTATGATGTGTTGGTTTTCCTCTTGTTCGTCCTGCTCCAGTTCGCAGTAACGTCAAAAACGCCTCCGCCTGGCTGGACTTCTGGAAAAAAAGCAGATTTAGCGGTTAGCTGCCCATGCAGTGCCATGGTGATACCCATGCCCCGGCAACGCCGGCCCCGGCCACGCCGGCCACGCCTCTCGATCTCCATCCGCGAGATCCGCCGAGGCGATTGATGACATGGAGTTTATCAAGACGCTCTTCCCCAGTGCCTTCAAGTCTATGTACAATGAAGGTGCCCCGTTCTAAAAAATGAGTATAAAGTGAGCGATATTTCTTATCACCAACAACAACGCCGGTGGACGAGTGGTTCGATTTCTTGACTGAAAGAGAACAGTTGGAGTATGAATACAGAATAATATATTTTATATGTGTGTGTGTGGCCCGAGGGTTTTTCTACTTCCATGTTAGCAAACAGGCAGTTGTAACTGGTTTGTCTTTTAGTAGCAGTCGAACTTCTCACTTTGATCCATCAACAACGCGCGCCCTAGGCAAGAATCCGAATCCTGATGAAGAAGGAGACGTTGCCAACGAGGGCTCCCCAGAAGAAAGAGGAGCGGAAAACACGAGGTATGGCATCCACAGGGTCAGTTGCACTAAACAACGGTTTTCGTGAAAGCAACATGGGAATCTCAAAGTCAGTCTGCCTTGGCACTTGCCAGGTGAGCCCGAAGGCGTAAATTGAGCTTGTTCCAACAAGGGTAACTATAGGCATTCAAGAGGGTCGCAGCATCACAGCATCTTGGATACTCTCGTATTAATCATTCAATTTTAGCGGCCGGTGACTGAAATGTTGAAGGTAATTATGGCGACATGTGCCAGGCTTTTTGCCTTTCGTTTGTAGGGGTCTATGCCCCTGTGTGGGCCATCCTGTAAGTGTTCACCTTTGTTAGGGCTTAGAGTCGTGGTGAGGGCCAGCTGCCGGGCTTGGCTCAGCCATTTGGATTTGTGCGCCGGAGGAAGCAACTGACCATCAAAAGTCAGCGAAGAACATGGCTCGCATGTGATATGATTTGGTCGTTCAAGGCCAGGAGAGTCTTGGTGCGCAACAGGGATCTTACAAGGAAAAGAAGGGGAGGCTCTTGATTACTAACCCCCCACATTTGAATTGACAAACCTCTTCATTTGGGGGGGTCTATCAAGAGTCTACACTAGATGCAAGCAGTTGTGACTCGCCTTTGATGTCACGGTCGTCCGTGATGAGCATCGAGGAGCGAGCCACCTCGTGTGTCAGGTTCCTTCTTCCGCCGCTGACCAGACCAGCGCCAATTGATTTTGAAATGCTAGCACGAGAACGGCCATGGGATGGCAGGCCTTGTAGCTTGGAGACGGGCACCATGGTCCGAACATGAGAATCTGTCGCAGGAGGGCCTTGTTTTCCTCCCACGATGTTCCAAGAGATGCTGTATGCGGAGGTTATATATATATATATATATCTGTGTGTGTGTGATGGGCCCTATGGCCCTCATATTGTTAAAAGATCTTAAAGGTAATTTGGGAGATTGTCTGGGATGGCATGGAAAGGTCATCCATCAGCCTGCTACAATTCCATGAGTCGTTTCAGGATGGGTCACTACTGGAAATAGCTCATCAGTTGCGATAGGATGTGCTGTTTTGGTGCATTTTTTGCTGAGTGTTTGACCCACTTTCATTTTTTGTTTCACCGTTTATCACTAGGGACTGCTTGTGGCAATGGCCTCAGAACAGTCACCGCAGTCGGCCGCTCTTTGGTGCCGTTTCACTGAAGCCAGCTTTAAATGGGCAGCGGATTTCGCGCCAAAAGGGAGATGGGAATCAGACCTGTTTGGAGGAAGCCGCCACCATTTCTTCATGTTTCTCCCATTAGTCGGTGATGAAACATCGTTAGCTTAGCCAGGGCCGGGGCTCAGTGACGAAGAAGCTGCACGCAATTCAAGGTGTTTCGAACTCGTGAGACCCTTGTCAGAAAACATTCATGAACAATGAACGTTCAATAAAAGAGCCTAAATTGCACAAGTTTTATCCGCTCATGGGAAAGACAAGTAATGCCCTCATGGGCCAGGTCGCTGGAGCCCGGATGGAAAGACAAGGGAATGGGCACCTTCTGAGCATATCCCAGACATCCCACCGGGCACGGGATGTTCATGCCCATGCACCTATTGTTTTGGTGTATTTGGGAATGAACTTCAAGTTCTGAAGCTGAAGCTCAGGTTTTCAGATGGAGTGCTGGAGCATGACAAGGATGTTTGATCGTGGTCGGTGATGGTGCAAATCTAGAAAGACCGTGTGGGTATACAGTTCCAGCGCACATGCGGTGGTTATATGACCATCCGCGGTATGTGACAATCATTGAACAAAAGATGTCCATAGTTTCCTGATGTTTCCTGTATACCGTGCACTGAGGAACATATTGATATTATATAAAATATACATGTATACATATTTTATACATATGCCTGTATACACACATATATTTATAAATAATATCAGTTCTCATCTTCTGGCCTTGATGGCTTTTCCGATCAATCAACTACTAGCATCTACTGCCCATGCAAAGATACGTTGTTGTCCTGGATTAGCAGCTCATCATTAGCTGTTGGGTTTGAGAGCGAAGTGAAGCGAGGACAGCTGCGGGGCCCTCCACAAGAGGCTTAAAGGCTCCATTAAGTGCAGCTTTTGAGACCAGGGCATGTGGAGTGTAGGCATTTTCCGAGGGAGAGGATTCATCTTCGTGCCGCCCCCTGGAATGGGATTTTCAGGCATTTCAACCCGAGATGTTGAATCCTCGTCCATATGAGCAGTATGCATCCTGAACTTCAAACACATCAAAATTCATTGAAACGACCAAGATTCGTGATCAATCAGGTGCAGGTGTCCTCACCGATGGATGGGTGGGATGCTCAGTCAGCTCAAGAGTTCAAGTCCAAATCGCTCTTTCGTTTTGGGGAGGGTTCGGATGGTCATGCTGTCATGCTGCCATGTTGCGGTCCATTGTTGCTTGGCACCTTAGCTACTGCAACTACTACTTACTCGCATCGCCTGCACCAAGGCTATCCAAGTTCTCACGGCGATTCTTGCGGCAACAGTCTCTCGGCCAGAACACATTTGCTGGTGAAACCGCCTCTTGGTGTTTCCATGACAGCCAGGCATCTTCATTATACATAGAGCAAGAGAGAGGAGAGGATAAATTAATTGGCTGTTTGGGAATGCAGCTTTTTTGTTTTGATACATGGAGGAGCGGAGCCTGAGGAGCCAATAGTTGCAGACTGAGCTTGAACAAGCTGCGGCTACAGTTCCCTTTGTTGTTCATTATTACAGTCGGTTTTGCTCCATGGAGGGTAACCTGGACGATGGTATCTCACCGACTTGCCTAGCAGCCATCATGATTTTTCGGAGGCGCTGCCTGGCTAGACGGCTGGTGGATTCACTGCACAACAGATCCGAAAAATGTACAGATGGGTGTGTGGGTCAAACAATCAATCATTCATAAGGGAAAGTGTATGTAGTATACAGTAAACATTTTAGTACAATAGATTTGTTTCTGATGTTGTTGATCCTTCGGCTAACTTGAATTTGTGGGTGCCCAGGTTCCTCCGAACTTAACTGGCTAACACTCAATGTCATGGAAGGTATGGAATCGGAAGTGTGTTTTATCGTTGGTGTGCTTTCCACTTTCCCAGCCTATCAGAGACCTGGAAGAGGATTCAGAAAGGCCGTCAAGCGATATAGTTTCAACTTCCAAGTGTCAAATGCCAAGCGCCCAGAGACCGCGGCTATTTACAGCGGCTAGATCGCGCGAATTGTAATTGCATCATGTGGGTTCGGTCATTCTGGTGGTTTGGCTCCTTCAATGTCTCAAGAGGCAAGCACCCTTCCGGTCATTGACATAGACCTGGAGAATGATTTGCTTGTGGATGACAGTGGTCTTGAGCAGGTCCAGATTCCGATGGTTGCGTTAGTTACCAGTACGGCGAAGGGTGACGCCGTGTAAAGGCTAAACATCACCAAACTATACCCTTTGGCCAGCACCTAGTGGGCAGTGTACTTGGTAGAAAACCATCCAAAATGTCATTCCTGCCCAAGCATTCTTTCCACCATGGCCCTGCCAATCCGTCCAAAGATGACGGGCAGCATGCTTCCACTGCTGCGGCCGGTGAGTCATGAAGCTCCGACGGCGATCAGCCCGAGGGAATGCAGGCCAGACGGTGATCGGGAGCAAGCGATTGGGAGAGAAGAGAGGGAGAGAAGGTGCCCAGCGTCTGCCCATTGCCCTTGACCACACAGTTTCGAGATGTTTCGAGAATTCCTCCGTAAGGTCAGTGTTCCTGCGTGAATATATTCGCTTTGGCCTGACATTTGGTTCAAGCTGGTTGTGCATTTGCATAGTTTTGGGGTCGTTCGAACATAGCACTTGGCAAGGTGGACAACTATACCACTGGCGCCCAGCAAGGTTTGGCGTACTTTTGCAAACGCATCCCAGGCAGCTGATGCTTCGCCGAGTGATGTCGGAGCTGCCACAGTTGCTTCCAATCGAGACACGCTTGCGTTTGGATTATAATTTGCCTGGATCTACAAAAAAGGCTCCCCTTGTGCTCGAGACATGACCATTTAATCAATCATAGTTATAGTCAAAGGGGCTGTTAGAGATTCATCTGTGATTGTACAATTAGATCCTCCACCAGAACCAACAGGCTGCCTAGCTGCAAAGGTTGTATAGTTTTTCAGGTTGGTGAATTGTCGTCAATCAAGAGCTGTGCTGCCCAGAATGCAAGTCTTTGACGATCTGTATCCATGTGTCTTGAACCCGAGGAGGGCGACATTCCGTTTGCAACTTGGACCGAAGGTGTGCCAACAAAAGCTCTAGACTGGCATGGCTCCCGCTCCACGCTACAACGGAACTAACACGTTGATCAAGTTGTGTAAACTTACCTATTCGTCGTACAGAGAAAGAATGGACAGATTCTCAACAGTTGGGTTGGCAAGAAAAGTTTCAATCGTTTCCTAACCGCGTTGTACAATTAGCAGGCTTCCAAAGTCAAAAGTCTTCCACCGCTTCAATCCCAAAAAGGAGCATCAGTTGTGAGATGTTGTTGTGACTAGGATGTTCACCAGCATCCATCAACCCTCCTGCATGCAGGCACTGGTGCCGGGCTCTGAGATGACCGGACCGCTGCCGAGCAGCTCGGAGGTCGGGGAAGCCAGCCACTGGCTTTTGGAGGTTTGAAAGGTCTTTTGCCCTGGTCCAGCACGGCGGTTGTCGTGTTCAAGGAATCTGTTGTTGCTGCGTCGTAGGAGCTGGAGCTTATTTATAGTCAGAGAAGGTGAAGATGGTGAAGGGTTTGCAGGTGCAGCTGGAGCTGGCTTGCATGATTCAATCGGCCTTCAAATAGGTTTGTTATACCATTATATATGTATATACAACTGTATATGCATTTGTTCATCCATCATTAGTTTCCCCTGCCCATTTCACTGCAAGTTGATTATTGTTGATGCTGTGCGGTGCTTTGTTTGTGCGTGTGCAAATAGTCAAGGTCTGTGTGGCATGGGCTAGCCTGCGCGCAAGAAAGAACTGTTCCCTTGCAAGCGGTCCCCGTTGCACGGTGCACGTTATTCAACTGGTGGAGCACGGGCTTCTGTCCCACAGCCATACTCTGGAAATGTTTGGGATGCCCTTTTGATCAAGCTGGTTTCTTGCATGTGGGCGGTATTTGTGGCTTTTGGTGGTGATAGCTTCCGCTTTTTAGCACAAGTGTGAGCAGATTCTTGTGCGCCTCAAAGTTGCCTTGCTTGCGAGCGAGCGAGAGAGAGAGAGAGAGAGAGCGAGAGAGAGCAGTCCAAAAAGATATGTAGATAAAGTAAGGATGAAAGTGGCATCTCAAGTCAGCTTTTGTAGGGGTGTCCCTTTGGTCCTGACACATAATTTGCATCAATTGCTTTTGAAATCCTTGTTGGACCAGCCAGGAGAGTGTCTCCAGAGATGCCTCCCCTGAGCGTGTCAAAGACAGGGAGAGGGAGAGCAATCCCAGCTTGCTCCTGGGATTCGCATGTTGGTTCGGATCTCGCGTTTTCGTCGTCTCCCACTACTCACCCTATGGCCCTGAGGCCCAAGCAGAGGCGAAAACATCATTAGCTTTAGCCCTTGAGGGTGAAAACTGGGCACCCATCCGTCCAATTCATCTTCATTGGCTGTCGCAAGCATGCATGTTTTGCACACGAACCGTAATACAACGTAGGAATTATCGGCCCATATGGCCCACGGCTGTTCAGTCACGGACTGGAAACAAGGACCTGGGAGCCTGGGATGCTGTGGAAAGGTGATCTTTTTTTGCCATTTGACTTGCACGTCCCTCAGTTTCAATATAAATCATCAAAATCTTCAAAGGCAGTGCTCCAATTTCCTAGGTGGTACCTTGCATTTGGAGTTCCTTATAGATCCTTACAGTAAATTCAATTCTTCTGACCTTTCCTTTGCACACCCACCGGGTGCACTACCCGTGTTGAGGTCCTTAGGCTCGGTGCCGGACGAGTCTTTGCAGCTGCCGGCCTGGCTCGAGGATTCGCCTGGCCAGGCGCGTGGAGCGACCTCGCAGCGACTGCCCGATGGACCCCGCAGCGAAGGGCTACAGAGATGGTAGTGAATTGGAAATGGGCCTTGCCACAGAACAAAGTCGCAAAGGAGTGTCCCAAGTGGAAAGCCCTACCCCTCGCCGTAGCCTCCGCACAAGCATGGAAGTGGATGGCCCTTTGGAAGAGTGTTGATGTCAGGCTCGCGGGGTGCTTCCGTGTGATGTTCTCGTCGAAGGGTTCCCCAAAGTGGCGAGTCGACATGAGTGACCGTGCCCCTTCTTGTTGGTTATCTTGACATAATCAGGCTTCTCTAGTTTCTGAGCATGGGTTCAATGGGTGAAGGCAACGCATGACTCGCAACCATCGACCTGTCATCGGTGCCGGGTGTCCTCCGGCCCATCCAAGGAGACCAGCTCCGGTGGCTTCTCCGACATTTCGCCCTGAGGCGACCAAGAGCGGCAGCGCTGGACCCTGACCGGCCAAGCTGGTCGGCCAAGATGGCATGGGTTGTGTTTGTATGTGCGATATAGATCAATTGATTCACCATAGAATATCTAGATCCAGTGCAGTCCTCATCATTCTTGTCAAAAAGTGTGCCGGGCCTACATAGTTGGAAGCAAGTCTCGCTGCCGCTTTAAGTGCAGTGAAGTTTGGTGGATCTTTTGGCCATGGATGATGCGGTCAAGGAGTCAAAAGAAATGTGACAGTCTGACCTTGGTCGCCGGCCTTTAGGGGAAGTTGCCGCTGGGCGTCTTTGCGAGACGACTCCAGACGAGTCATGCCCAGAGAGAGAGAGAGAGAGAGTGAGTGAGTGAGTGAGTGAGGATCACTGAGGAACACTTTAGCAGCTTTTGTATACTGTATACACATATATATATATATATATTCACATAATTGAACCGTTGGAGTCACAAGGTGATGTGTCACAAGAGTCGCAGCCCAAAGGCCATCGAAACACCTTTCTGGCTTGGCACAACCTCCCGATACATCCCCAGCCAGTGAAACCTGGATTTGCGAAATGTATTTGCAGGGATGCACAAACGGTTTCAACAGTCAGCTGCATGGGTATTTCAGCATATTTCAGCACTCGCGTCAGTGGAGTTTTTGGCTCGCAAATATGAGACCCATTGGTGAATCCAATTGTACCAGATGTCGGGTGTTCCCCTGGAAACTGGTGGTGTGGTTACAGGCTGCACAGGGGCTTGCAAGCCCCGCCTCCTGCATGTGCGTCCATGGTCAGATTTGGTGACTTCTTCAACTTGAAAGCTTCCACAAAGACTGCCAACCACTGCTACTCTAAGCAAATAGGGGGAAGTTAGTAAAGGTGCCAGGAAGTATCGTGAATCACACCATATCACACCTATTGTCACGCTTTTTGTTCATCTCTGTTCAGATAACCCCAGTGCATTTTGGAAGTCCAGAGTGTGCCTTTTTCACATGATTTTAAATCTAGAAATCATGCTTGGAAGCTAGAGCCGCTTCACCATTAGATGGAACCATCATGGCCCGCCGTGTGCGCGCCGAAGCCAAGCCCTTGACACGCTGCCCCTACGGACATGCACCGTTAGCTGTCCGCAAAGACTTGAGGGCTGGGAAAGGTGGGCGGAACCTAACCATCTTTACATGAGACATGCGCAAAAGCTTGCATGGTCAGTGACTGGACGGTCAGTAAAGGTAGGGGATTGCCTTTCTTTTTTGCCGGCTCCCCCCTCCCTACTTAGTTGTATAAGTAGGTGCCTACTTAATTAAGTAAGGGAGAGGTAGCTAGTACCTACAAAAGAGTTGGGGATGTGGGGCCTAATGCATGTATCGTTTCTACAGAAACAGACCGTTGGAGTACTTCTACCTTCAGAGCAGTCTTCAGAGTAGATGTGTCAGATCAATACCAGGGCGGATAGCATCATTGTGGTTTGTCCAAGAAATTAGTGTGGCAGTGGCAGTGCTTCAATTCCGAGTTACTGTATCCATTTGCATCCTAGATACCAGCTTCAGGTTTCAGGACCGTTTGTACCAGTAGCATGGACTTTGCCCAACTTGAATGTCCATATCAGACAATGGCAAGCAGAAGTAAGCATTCCCAGCCAGACCTTGATTTCTTGTCGAGTCTTTTGGCTCAGGTCAACAGCGGCCTCGAGACCACCCCCGCCAGCAGTGGAAGAGACACTGCTTGAAGTCGTGCCGGATGCTCAATTGGAGGAAACTTGGTCCTACCATGGGCTACCAGCGTACTACATTGAAGCCATGGCAGCCACGAACACTGGAAGTAATGATATTGTGCCATGTTTTTGCTAACGGCTCTAAAACCGTACGTGCGTTTTTGCGTTTTTTGCTTCTTGGATGTTTTGTGCAATTTCCCATATATATGTATGCGTCTATGTTGCATCTTGACGTTGCGTTTCACACATATAGGTTAACGTTGCACACTGGGTTGGATGCTACGTTGTGCTATGCTGGTGACGTTGCACGGGGTGGGGGGGGGGGGGGGTGGGGGGGGCATGTTGACGTTCCTGTGACGTTGCACACTGGGTTGGATGCTACGTTGTGCTATGCTGTTGACGTTGCACGGGGTGGGGGGGGGTTGGGGTGGAGGGGGGCATGTTGACGTTCCTGTGACGTTGCATATGTATGTATAATATTGTATAATTCTGTGCATGTGAATATTTTTCTCGGCAAAACAGTTTTCATTACTGTGTGAGCATGGCTGCCTTCACGATGCATTTCATGTTTTTTAAACCTGTTTCGAGCGGTGGCATGTTCTGGAATGTTTGTGCGCGGATAAATTGTTTCTTGCTGCTGGCTGCGGCTCTCAGGATCAATCAGTTTTTCTGCATTGCACTGTGCCTCACTTATATTCTTCTCACTTATATTCACTGTGACAGCCTCCACGTTGCGTGCACACTGAGCTGGACCGATCGACGTTGTGAAAAGGTTCCGATCGAATCGGTGAACATGTGTGTTTTCTCAGGTTTTTTCGTGTTTCAAGCGAATTTTGGTCCAAGTTTTGGACACAGAATTTCCGATTTACAAGAGGTTCCAAACCCTCTTTTCCATTGTTTTTTGCAGTGGATTTGCAACACCTCTGAAGTTGGCGTGCTAAAACGCACGCGCGGTTTTAGATCCGCCGGGATGTTTTTGGCCGGATGTACAAGAGGCAAAGATTTGGAAAGCTAGAAAGGACGACAGCAGCAGTTCATTTGCATGATGTGGTGAGTGCTAACCAGGGCGTACACCACTAGGACAAAAAAGTGTTTCTTTTTGAAGATTTGCATGACTACCCAAGCCATCCGGATCGAAGGAAAACCAGCGGTTTCGAGCGTGCATAGCGCTTTTCATGGTAGCGGAGCTGGCCGCTTGAACAACAGCCCGTCACTTGGCCGGTGGATGCGCCGCAGAGGATTCTCCCCCCGAGGCAATCTTGTGACGCGTTCAGCAGAGTCGGGGGAAATCCTTCTGAGGGGTATCGCCAGCACGCGCCGAGAAGGCGGAACCGCAATCCGTACAAGCTGGGCATTGTTAACTTGGACATTGGGTTGGAAGCTGATCATTGCATTTTTGACATTGATTGGACTTGCATTTACCCCCAGTTGTTTTCAGTGTTCTGATGGCGGATGGTGCTGCGAACGGTGGAGCAGGAGCCCCCGAGTTGGGTCAGATTGTGAATATGTTGCAGGCGATGGCGACTGAGCAGCAACAACAGCGAGCTACGTTGGACACATTGCAACAAGCAGTTGGGACCACAGCTCACGGTGTTGGTGTGACGCAACAGGTGACTGAAGGTGTTGTTCAGGAAGTTGTTCAACAGGTTCAGGCTGCAATGCAACAGAACCAGCAGGATGCACAAGGGCAGATTCAACAGATGCAACAGGGTCAGGTGTTGATGCAACAACAGATTGAGGCCGCCATTCAACAGAGTCATCAGGAAGTGTTGAATTTGCCCCAAGCATTGCAAGGTATGCAACAACAGATGCAGCAGCAGACAGCAGCACAGGTACCAGTTCCCGGATCACCGCCACAGGTCCCTCAGGTTGCACCCGGAGTTCAAGGTTCACCGCAACATCAAGCTCATGGGTCACCATTGGAACCCCTCCTATGGGAGCAACGGGTGCACCGAATGCACAGTTCATTCCACCGCCAAATTTGAACCTTGGCGGACCTGCAGGGGTAGCTGGGCTCGGAGGATTGGGGCCAGGTGTGAATCCGGCAATTGCCTATGCCATCCAGCAAGGTGGAGTTGATGCTAAGGTGCTTTCAAAGCCAAGCACCTATGATCCTGTCAAGAGTCCTGGGTATGCCGCATTCAATGATTGGAGCGATCATGTGATCACCTGCGTTGATGCACAGATTCCAGGGACTTGGGAGTTGCTTGAACACATCAAGGACACACAACCGGCAGCACAAGTTTCAATTGATGATTTGTCATTGCATTTTCCCAACATTGACAGAGCAACATTGGAGTATTCAAATTCCAATTTGTATGCGGTGTTGATCACATTTACAGTTGGTGAGGCTCGCCACATTGTCAGGCAGGCAAGACGACCAAATGGGTATGAGGCTTGGAAGTTGTTGCAACGACGCTTCAATCTGGTGACCATTGGTCTACAGAGAGCAGGGTTGACTACAATTGCAAACCCACCAGCAAATGTTCCTTTGGCACAGTTGGCAGGAGAGATTGTGTCGTGGGAGACAAAGATCACAGAGTTTGAGGCAAGGCCGCATGCAGAGAAGATCAGTGAGGCGATCAAGATGGCCGCAGCAGTTTCCATGTGTCCCAATCGGCTGAGGGAACATCTTCAGTTGAATGCACAGAGGTATGCAACATACATGGAGCTGCGAGAAGAGATTTTCACCTACATTGAGCACACTCAGTCGTTGACCGCCACCAGCATGGACATTGGTTCGTTGCAGTCGAAGAGCTCGGGCAAAGGAGGTGGTTGCTTCGAGTGTGGAGGACCGCATCTGGTCAAGGACTGCCCCAAGCGGGCCAAAGGTGGTCAAGGAGCTGGGAAGGGCAAGAGCAAAGATAAAGGAAAAGGTAAGGGTGGAAAAGATTTCAAAGGAAAAGGGAAAGCATCATCCAAGGATGGCGGCAAAGGCAAGAACAAGTCAGCGTGTTCGAACTGTGGCAAAGTGGGCCATACAGCTGAATACTGTTGGAACAAAAAGGTAAAGCCGTTGAATTCTGTTGATCTAAGGTTGTCGCAGTTGCAGTCAGAGTATGCACGGAGAGCGGTGGAAGATTTCCAGAGGATCAACAGTGGTTCCAATGCAGTGCACGCTGTACAAGGATCCCCACAATCAAGTGTTGTTGGAGCATTGTCACCGGCCAGTTCATCAGTGTTGGGTCCATCAGTGTCTCAGGCTCAGCAACAGGTTGGTGGCATTAGCATCAAGAGGTTATTTGCATTGAGCAGTCGGCATGCGAAAAGGGCAAGAGGCTCAGGAGCGGGGTCGGGTGGGGATGGACAAGGGACAGAGCAGAGCATTGATTTGACCTTGGCATCCAAGACGTATGCAGTGCTTTCAAATGTTGACAGTGGAGCAGCAATGTCGGTTTGCCCCCCGGGAACATTTCCAGACTACCCGGCGCTGGCTAGAGATGATGAGGAAGAGATAGTTTTGGTTGCAGCAAACGAAGAGACAGTTGAGCATTATGGTGAGGTCAGGCCAATTGTGATGACGTCAGAAGGTCACTTGAGAGAGATGGTGTTTCAGGTGGCGGCAGTTGGCAAGGTGTTGACATCAGCAGCTCAGATTTGCAACCGAGGGCATCGGATTGTTTTGGAGTCGGAGGGTGAGCGCAGTTACATTGAAGACAAGGAGACGGGTGATACATTCAATTTGTATCAGGAGGATGCAGTTTTCAATTTGTATCTTCATGTGATCCCGTATGCCGAGACCACGGGTTTCTGCGGGCAGCCGACGGGGAGCAGTGCCCCGGCAGATCCGCAGGCGTAAGGCCCCGCTATGAATTGCATGCATTGGATGAGGAGCCACAAGAGTTGAGAGATTCGGGTTCCCATCCTGAATTCGATGATGGTGTGAATGATCGCAGTGACCTATATCAAGGCCACACTAGAGTTCCTGAGTTGCCACTTCCGGACGACTATGAGCAGTATGAGCCGAGTGAAGGAGACTTGGACGTGGTGGCATCTAATGCAAGAGAATTAGAGGATGAGGTCCAGGAGGCTCCTTCAAAGAAACTTGCACTCCGTGTTCCTATTGGACCTACAGAGGAGGAGAAACGTGAACATATGATCAGCCACATTCCGTACAGGAGCTGGTGCGCAGATTGCATCAGAGGCAAGGGTTTGGCTGAGGCGCATCGGAAACAGAGACTGGGTCAGGACGCTAAAGAGCAATACGGAGACCTTTGATAGCATTGGCTTATTTTTATCTTGGCAAGGATGAAGAGCAGAGTTTGCCCATTTTGGCCATGGTAGAAGAACAGGCCGGCAGAACATATGCCGTTTGCATGCCAGAGAAGGGTGTACAGCATCAATACAATGTTGCAGCAGTCTCAAAGCTTTTGAAGGTTTCAGGATGCCTTGGAGGAGTTCTGAAGAGCGACAATGAGAGGTCGTTGGTTGCTTCGAGAAACGAGTTGCAGCGTTTGTTCCCTTCGTTATCATGTGAAGATGCTACCAAAGGTGAGTCACAGAGCAATGGACTCATTGAGAGTTACATTGGGAAGATTGAGGCCCAGGCTCGAACTATGAAGAGTGCACTTGAACGACATTATGGACCGATACATCCACGGCATTCAGTGTTGACTTGGTTGGTTGATTATGCAGCAGCCTTGCTCAGCAGACACAATCGAGGTGCAGATGGGTTAACTCCATTTGAACGTTCGACGGGAAAGCCGTGGAGAGTTAGGACGCCAGAGTTTGGTGAGTGTGTATGGTACCAGCCATTGAAAGGTGAAAGATCTGGAAGCAAGCTTGATCCTAAGTTTGATGAAGGCATCTTCTTGGGTATTCAGGAGGGAACAGCCATGAAGTGGATTGGTACAGGTACAGGAGTTCATCGATGTTGGACAATCAAGTGCAAGTTTGTTCCCTACTCAAACATATGATCGGACTTCCGTGGCAGCTACGTCCAAAGAAGGACATGGGAGAAAAGAGTTTGCCACAAGAGATCGAGGTTGACTTGCCGGCATTGGATTTAGAGGCTGCGGAAGCGACACAGGAGAAAGAAGTGAAAAGGAAGAAGAGCTACAAGGCCCGAGGCATTTACATCCGTCGGGACATTGAGCTTGAAGAATATGGGTACACTCCAGGTTGTGATGGTTGTGAAGCAGCTAAACTTGGATTGAGTCACAAACAACATTCTTCAGCTTGCAAACAAAGGATCAGGGAAGCCATGTTGCAGACTGAGGAGGGTCGTGACAAAGTGGAGCGCATGGAGCGTCGAGCAGAGCGTTTCATGGTCAAGTTCAAGGAACAGCAAGATGAGGCAGAAGCTCGAAAGAGGAAACTGTCCATGGATGAGCCACCAGAGGCGAAAGTTCCAAAAGGGGCTGAGGGTGCACTGGTGGAGGAGGTGTCGGGTCAGGAGGGCATTCCTGACATAGAGTTCATCGAGGAGCCGCCTGGAACAGCAGCTGACTTAGTTGATGAAGGCATGGGTGGAGGAGCAAGCTCAGGTGATGGACATTAGTTCACTCCAATTGTTTTCATTGAGCAAACACGGTTTGTGCCATCCTTGTTTGAGAGAGTCATCTTTGTTGGAAACGCAACAGATGTTGCCTGGTGATTTCATTGAGCAACAACAGATCAAGTTGCAGTTGGGGAGCTTGAGTTTGTATGATGCCTACGGCATTGATCAGAGAGGTCGGAAACCAGTTGTCGTTGAGGTGTGTTCTCCGCCACGGTTGACAGCATTTGGGCGCAACAAAGGTTTGATTGCAGGTGTTGCATTGGACTTGAGGACATGTGACCATGAGGGCAATCCTTGGGACCTCACACAAGCAAGCAGACGACAAGCAGCCCATTTGTTAGTTGATGAGTTACAGCCAGAACTTCTAGTGGGTTGTCCACCGTGTGGGCCATTCAGTTTTTTGCAAGGCTTGAATCAGAGATTTGCAGATACATGGGACAACGTGCAGAAGCTGGCGGAGGCAAAGGAGCATCTGGCATTTTGCTGTGGGTGTACCGGAAGCAGATGAGCAGGAAGAAATATTTCTTGCATGAGCATCCTTTTCTTGCAACCTCGTGGATTGAAGATCCGATGAAACAGCTTGAAGAGCTTGACACAGTTTACAAGGTTCGTGGGGACATGTGTCAGTTTGGTATGCAAGCAGAGGATGAGCATGGTGCTGGAGCTGTGAAGAAACCATCCGGCTTCATGACGAATTCAGAATGTATTGCAGAGCAGTTGAATGTTCTTTGCAAAAATGTGAACAATGAACTCAAGATTTGGAAGCGAGTTGATTTCAATACAGACCAGTTGCAATCATTGAAGAAAGGTGGACCTGCATGGAAACAAGTTGTAAGAAGAGTTACAATGGATCTCAACACAAACGAAGTGCTTCAAGATCTTCAGGATTTTCAACAAGCCACTCGTTCACAGTTGCATCAAAAGTTGTCAGCACAGCCACGTGACATTGTTACCATTTTCTACTACAAAGACGACAACAGTCAGTGGCATCGGCATGTGCAACTCATTGGTGGTAAAACTAAGCAGGCAGAGATTTTTCCAGATGGTCTGTTGCAACGTATCTTGAAAGGGTTGAAGCAACAGATGCAAAAGAAGTCACCACTTAGTTCTTTGGAGTTTGGACCCGTGAATGAACTGGGGCTGGACCCATCGGATCCCGTTGGATCGACATAAATAAAGGTGACGCTGAACATCCGAATTACCGGAGCAGGTTGGTCATTCAAGAGGTGAGGCACAGTGGCGTTGAAGCAATTTTTGCAGCTACACCACCCTTGGAATCCATCCGTGTTTTATTGTCACTTCAACGTTCAGGCAAGAAAGGTTACAAAGTGATGTTTACAGACATTAGAAGAGCACATTGGACTGCCAAGATTGAAAGAACAGTCTATGTCCGCCTTCCACCAGAAGCTGCGGAAGAAGGCTACTGTGGCCGTTTGAACAAGGCCATGTATGGTTGCCGGGACGCAGCTCGACAATGGGAGATTGAGATTACAGACTTCTTCACAAGTCAAGGCTTTACCCCAGGGTTGGGGAGTCCAGTGTTGTATTTTCACAGTGTTCGTGACATCAAGATTTCAGATCACGGGGATGATATCACTTCATTGGGCCGCAAGGATGATCTTCTTTGGTTGAAGAAGCAATTGTTGACAAGATATGAGATCAAAGATGGTGGTATGTTGGGGCCTGATGAAGGTGATGTGCAGGACGCGATGACCTTGAACCGACTTGTACACTATGGTCCGCATGAGACAACAATTGAGGCCGATCCTGGACATGTGCAAATTTTGGTCAAAGAGTTGAACTTGACTGAATCTAAGAACGCCCCTACAGCAGGCGTGAAGAGATCTGAACAGAAGGAGGAGATGCTCACACCAGAGGAGAGCAGCAGGTTCAGAAGCTTGACTATGAGGGGTTGCTGTCTTGCATTGGACAGGCCAGATATTGCTTTTGCGTGCAAGGAACTTGCAAGGGCCATGAAAAGACCTTGTCGGTCGAATTGGAATGGCTTGAAACGGTTGGTGAGATACTTGCATGGTGCTCCTAGATTGATTTGGAAGTATCCCGAACAGTTGGCACAAGAGCACTTCACTATGTACACTGACAGCGATGATGCCGGTTGTACAAAGACTAGGAAGTCAACATCTTGTGGAGCATTGATGCACGGTTCACATCTTCTCAAGTTTTACAGCAGCACACAACATGTCATTTCATTGAGCAGTGGTGAGTCGGAATTTTATGCAGGTGTGAAAGCAGGTTCAACATTGGGAGCAATGTCGATGGCTCTTGACTTTGGTGAGACCAAGAGAGGTCGATTGTGCTTTGATGCCACGGCGGCAAAAGCCATGTTGAGCAGGAAAGGACATGGCAGAGCAAAGCATATAGATCGGTCTTTTTTGTGGTTGCAACAACGAGTACAGAATCAGGAGTTAGAACTGAGCAAAGTCGGCACACGCAAGAACATTGCCGATCTCGGTACAAAGCATTTGGACAGGTCACAAGTCGAGACATTATTGACCGAGATGAACCTTGAGTACGTTCACAGCGAGCACCGCATGACTCTCCATGTATAGTGGAACGCACAACGAAGGTGTGCATTCCAGGAGGGCATGCATGACTACCCAAGCCATCCGGATCGAAGGAAAACCAGCGGTTTCGAGCGTGCATAGCGCTTTTCAAGATTCCAAGTAGAACCCTTTCCCAATAAAATCCTGCTGTCGGCGCTTATGTCGCCTCACACGGCCGAATTTCCTACAGAGAATGATAATTGACCGTCCCAGACTGGGTGCACCTGGAGGATCAGTCACTTGCACCGTGGAGGAAGTAAGAAACCACCTTCAGTAGCCGAAAGTTGATCGTTATCAAAGAATCATCCTCCCAACGCCAAATGCAATTGGCAGCGCAATGCAGCGCCACTGAGGACGACCCTCCGCCGAGCCCACCCTCCACTGCCCGCCCAGACGAGGGCGATGCCGTTGGTGCGGCTGTGCCGGTCTACGCGCCTGAGAGTGTGGTGTGGCTCAGAAGGGTTCGTTGAGTCGAGCTTGCGTTAAGATGATCTAACATGTGGGACCACCAACTAGACAGAGTCGTTGTCCTTCCCTTGCTACTTTGGAGGAGGTTTGCAGGGGATGGTCGGCCAACAGATCTGGCCAGAATCACCTAGTTAAACATATAATATAGTTGAACCATTGAATCGTTGGTCTTCGAACCCCGGCTCGAGGGAACATGCATCAACCGTCGGCTCAACACTCATCGCTTGTCGCTCGGCTCGTTTGGAGGTCATGGTCAATGCCGTTGCGTTGCTCAACCCGCCAGCGCCATGGAACGCAATCGCTGAATGCATCTCGGCTGCAGCATGTTGGATGGCCTCTCAGCAAATCGGTGAGAAACCCCCACATATGTTAGCTTCACGATCTGCATTGTTTGGTCAGAAATCTTGGATTTCAATCAAATCTATCAGATCTTTGTGCATGGGCGCAGACAACCTAGCACTCCTAAAATACCAGCAATCTCTACAGTACTGACCTCCCGGAAAAGAGAGGCTCTCTTCCAGCAATGAGGTGTGTAAGAAGCTGGCCGGGCTGATGTTGTGAATCGTCCAGCTACTTTTTGTAATTCGTAGAATTTTGCAAAAGCCCTTGAAAAGGTTTTGCACCAGACATGTAAAGGGGGTGGTTGCCACGTTCTCCCTGGAGCTGTTGCCCACCAAGTCGATTTATTGACGAAGGAGGACTGGGACTCGAAGGCCATCTCTAAGTTTCCTCGATTCAGTTGGCTCCCCGCCCAACAGGATTGGGGTATATAGATAGATGCTAGGGTAGACAGTCCACCCAGTCCGGCGCAGCGGCCAAGCACAACAACCGTGAACAGTGACACATGTCAGAATACACGAGGACCAACACGACCACAGACGACGGAACAATGACACACAGAATGGCAACACCAAAGATAGCCACTACAAACATGACACTTGACAACACACCAGGTACAAACGCAACAGCTGACAACAGAATGACACACATCTAATCAACCGCAAAACACTGTAGAATCTCTTCAGGGCTTTGCCCTACCTGACTGGTTCTTTTTGTGTGTAGACGTTCATTTTCGCACAGGGATGACTGGAAGTAGTGCAAATTTATCCAAACCGGACCTGGAGGAGCCCCAAGTCGTAGCGGTAGACATGAGTTCATTCGAGTTCGTTTGGGGTTTCTCTCCCCAGAGGCTCTCGAAACGAACCTTCACATCATAGATGAGGTGGACAGAGCACCACCAGCTACAAATCATACCAATCCAAGGCCCCTTCTCAAGCTAGGGTCCTCTCCCCTCCCTACTCACCCATCCTCCCATCTCCCCCCTCCCATAGTAGCCTCACCCACCCTACCTCCAAAAGCACCACCCAGAGCTCGAGAGGTCGTCAACAGGCAGAACGCCTTGCAGAGCTCGAGAGCCAAGTCTTGGAGGAATCCGTGCGTTTGGACAAGTATGGCGTGTGCGAACCCGTGGAAAGAGAGAAAGAAACCAGAAGTTCGTGCCTCAGATTGACAAATTCCCAAGTGATTCCTTTGATTGTGGTCCACGTTCCAGGAGTGCCGACAGCGGCAGGAGCGTCTTTGGCGCTCTGAGCTGCAGGCGTTCACATCTGATTGGGCTGTGGTTTGTAGGAGTTACTGTCGTTTGGAGTATGTTTAGCAATGGTAACTGGGCGCTGTTCAAATCACCAACCAGAGTCAGAGTGTTTGGTTTGTTGGAGTCTGTTTTGCTTGAACGTTTGATGCTGGCTCGAGCGACTGACTTCAGGAGCAACTGCATGAAAGGGATCAACACTGGCAACAGCAGCAGAACCTCGGCGAAGCTCCGCTGGAGCTCCTGCGACGTGGGTAAAAGATGGTCATGAGTCATGAAATGATATGAAATGTCATGAATTCAGGGTTTGACGATGGTCATGAACCCTCTTTGGGAATCACCTCTATCATCCTATGATTTGACCACAGGTCGACAGGTGAATCCCAGTTCAACCCGATCGAGTCCAAGGGACCCACGTGGTTGTCGTTCCAAGGAAGGAGCTGGAGGGGCAGTTGGCCTTTCTGGAGCGACGGCTCATCGAGAGCAAGGTCTCGAGTCAAGAGGCGGAAATGCAACAGCAACAGGAGACCCACTTGGGCTGAACAGAGATGGCATGAGACAGACATGAGACCCACTTGGAAATCTGTACATATATATATATATAGTCGTGTATGTGCTCGGAGTACAGGTTGGGATGTGTCATGTTTATATATTCCTTATGTTTAAGATTTTGCACATGTAACTTGTGCCTTGGCAGGTAGCAGCAATGAGATCACGTATGATCACATTAAGAGTGATCAATTTGCAACTGTTTCTCTCTGGGGTGTTGCATGGTTTTGCTGGGGGATTCACACACGGTAGTGTTTGGCTCATCCCTGAGGATGACAATCTGGTCCATGTTTGTTTTTCACTCCATGATGGCCACGTGCTGGTTTCGTCCTCCAGGATGCGCGCTTGCGATACCAAGTGGTCCAGGAGCGCTGCAATACGTTGGCCACAACGATGGCGGAAGAGCAGGCGGCCTACAACGTGAAGCACTTGCAGCTAGAGGCTTTGCAGCAAAGACAGGCGCTAGGGGCCCTGAAGAAGAACAAACAATTACGTAAAACATCATAGAGAGAGAGAGAGAAGTCATGTGAAACTGTGAAACTAGCAAATCTCAAGATATGAAAAGTTACAGTAGCGACCACAGATGGTAGTTACATTGGGTTGATTGGGCAAAGGTAATCACAGACACGACAAGTTCAGAACTCTTTCATACGGCCCTTCTATTCTCGATCGTTCTCGATGCTGAGACATTGGGGTGAACATTGGCGCATGCCAACAATACGTACGCCCACGATCAGCAAACGAAGCCTACAGGATTGGTTTGTCTCAGACCCGTGGGACCTTCCGCACAAAGAATGGGTTTCAAATGGATTGTGGGTGGACCTCCCATGGCCTCCCTTTCTATCTCGAGCCTCGAGCCTGAAATGACGGAGCCCAGGAGCAAGACGTGTCAAAGCTCCATGGGGAGCTTCTCGCCTCACAGAAGGTGTGGGCGGCGTGGGCGGCGGGTCGTGTTGTGCCGAAGCTGGGCTCTTCAGACGGCCGCTCTGAACACCCATCCCAAGGAGTACAGAACTGCCTGCGTGGCGGCGTGGCCGATGTTTCCATGTCGGTGACCCCACCTTTTGTATGGTTGACCGATGAGTTGATTTCTCGAACTCCCAGTCCTTGATCAGAGAAATCGCCACAGGAGATGGAGGTGATGCGACTTGAGGCCAGGATGTGGGACCATGGTCCGGGGGATCGTCCATGGAGTGCTGACTCGTTCAGCCTTTGGAAGGCAAAAGTATGCAAAGGTGCCATCCCTTTCCAGAATGCACAAACCGCAATTGGCACAGAATGCTGAAAGATGTTGAAAGAGAGATTTCGATGTTTGTTCGGCAGCATGTGGCTTTGTCTCAGGATGGCGGACGTCCTAGGTCCTAGTTATAGAAAGTTTGCCAATTTAACCAAAATTGACACATCACTGTCACTGATGACGTGACTTCTTTGTTTGCGTTCGATCCTTTGGCCTCCGAGCAGGAGCGAACGCTGGCCACCTGTGCGCAGGAGGAGTTTCAGGCCGAAGCCGCTTGCAATGCCTTCAGCCTCAGGCGAGCTGAGGCCCAAGCACGGCAAGCAGAGGAGGAGACTTCACGAGCGGAGGAGGCTCGGAGGAGGTGGGTGAAGAGTGGTGGAGATGGGATGGCGACAATAAGAGTTGGATAGCGACAAGACGTGAGATATGAGGGGGAAGAGGAGGGAAAAGGCATCAAAGATCATCAAAGATACACTGCATTGACCAGCAATGTCCAGAAGAGTCGATGCTTTTGACAAACCGCAGAAACGTTGATCATTGTCGCAAGTCCCATGAAAACAAAATGAATGATTGTCATATTTATATATATATATATATGTGTGTGTGTGTTGCCATTTTGTGCTGAAGAATCGTCCTCAATTGGTGCAGATACTGAAACATGTTCGAACCTGCGGAGGTGCTTGTCCAAAGTTGTTTAAACATGCTTAATTTGTAGTCCAAGCTAGATGCTGGTCTTGTGAGACTGGACCGCGTGTCGGCAGGCCTTCTCCGGCCTGCAGATGCAGTTGCAAGCCACCAGGAAAGACTTCCAGGTGGAACACCTTCAAGTGGAAGAGCGAAACTAGCCTGTGCTTCGTATTGTTTGATCAGGAAAGTGGAACATGAGCCGGCTGGTTTCAGCATTTCCCTCCACACAGCCAGCAGGTTACACGTTTATCATCGTGAAAGGTAGTTTCAGGATGTTTCAGGCTACCTGAGTTCTTTGCCTGAGCCCCGCTCCACTGGTTCAGCTTTTCAATGCTGCTGCTGCTGCCGCTTCCGCTTCCGCTTTTGTTGCTGCTTCCGGTGCTTTTCCTGCTGCTCTCCCTGCTGCTCTTGCGCCTCTTGGATCAGATCCCGTCTCGTCCTCTAGGCCCCCACCACTTGGGAAATGAGTACGGAATGGATGGCAGTTTGCCACTCGCCAAGCTAAGGAAAAACCTAAGGGACCAGGTAAAACGAAAAGAGAAGGTTGGAGGCCATCGCATCTAGATGGGAGGCCATCGCAACAGGTTGAAGGCCATTGCTAGTATTTTACATAATCGTTCATTGGAGTCGGAGAGAGCCTGATTTCAAAATGCTTAAATATAAGTCAGTCCCAAAAGTCGAAGTAACAAATAAGTCAAACCAGAAAGTTTCAGAAGTCAAAAAAGTCAATTTGCCCAGATCCTACGTTTGTTTTTTTTGAGTTGTTTTTCTAATTTTGACGTGTTTTTCTGTTTTTTCGACTGTTTTTTTGACTTGATCGGTCTATGCTTTACGTTTTATTTATGTTGTTCGACTTTTGACTTTTTTTGACTTTTCAATTTTACTTTTTTTTGCCTTTGACTGTTCCATTTGATTTGTTTCGACTTTTTTTAATCAAGGATTCTGGCCTGACCATATGAAAGATTTTTATAACGCTAGTAGGTTGCTTGCGTACAAAACAAGACTCAGAACTGCAGACACAAAACCTCACAGCGACAAGGTTAGAGGTCATCACTAGTAGTTGGAGGCCATCACGACAAGGTTGGAGGCGTTGACTCAAAACTGCAAGACACAAACACTCAAACCGGCAAGATTAGAGGCCATCGCTGGTAAGTTGGAGGCCATCACAACAGGGTTGGAGGCCGGAGGCCCTCGCTGCAAGGTTGGAGGCCATCATGGCTGACAAGACTCAAACCAGCAAGACACAAAACGCAAAACGCTGGTTACAGTTGCATGTTAGTTTCATTTAGTTACCAAACCCCATGCAGGTACGTGGGACTGGCCAGGTCCCACATCCCGCGATACCATCCAGCTTCGTTGGTCAAGGTTGGTGATATCGCGCCTTGGCCCCCTGCAATTGATTAAGCAGAAAACCTAAACGTCCCCTTTTTGAGTCCAAGGGTTGACACACTTAGATTGATGCTCGCAAGAGCTAAATCAGTTGACGAAGTTCCACTTTACTGCAGGTAGACCTTTACACGCAACTAGACCTTGACTCGATGCAACGGTAAGAAGTGAAGGGTCCGCTCACTTGAATGTTCCGAAAGCAATCATTAGCACTTTAATGGGGGTATTAAAACAGTTGGTTCAGGTACACAATGCGGCGTCCCGCATTGCTTCACCACGAGCTGACAGCGTCTTCGTTGGGCAATGTTTGTCAGTCGTGCATTGCCCCCCTGCTTTGAGCAAGTTGCTCCACCGGTGGTGAATTATTCAACGCAAGTTCCTTAGAAACAGGTGTGGGCACACACACACACGACCATGAGACATGGACCTTTAACAACTTAAAAAAGCGAATCACCCTAAAGAAAGAGAAGAAAAGAAGAAAGAGATCCAAAAAACGGGAATGATTCCATTTCATGAAGGACTTCCCTGCGATCACTCTTATTATTTTTGGGTTTAGAGTGTAAAGAAAAGAACACAATAATCGAAAAAAAAGAGTCATGGTGCCTCTCTTAATTGGAGAAAGAAAATATGAAAACACATGTTTTTTGATAATAGCCTTTCCTTTTCGTATCTCCTTTTCGTATCGTGATGAAGGTGGGCGAGGAAAGAACTGGAAGGTGAGTGACAGCGGTGACGGGGCCATTTGTCTCTTCCCTGTGGCACCCAAGTAACGACTCAAGTTTATCACAGCAGGGATGGACAACAATTGCAAAAGTCCTGAGTCGTAAGATGTCAGGGGGACACCCTTTCGGTTGGAACCAAAAACTTACGGTGCCAAAATGAGGGAAGTTCAAATTGAAAACAAAAAGTACAAAACTGCCGGTTCTTGCAACAAGTTCTAACCAGTTCGGCACCTGAAGCTCCAAGGATTGCAGCAGGCGGAGCACTCGCAGCAGATGGCCAGGTCGAAGAGTTTTTGTTGAGCGGCTGGGTGGCCGTAGCACAACTTAGCACCTAGATGCACCTTGGATGTAGAGGCCTAATTCAACTCTGGGCCTAGCCAACAAGCACCACAGGTTTTTTGTTGCATTTCATGTTTTGCATTGCGATGATGTCAAAGTACAACAAGCAAGACCAAACTACAATGTATAAACAGGCAAGCATTAAGACCCTCTAAGCAGACATGTTTGGGTTTTTCCCCCTCGATGCGATTCTACCGGATGCAGGCGTTTGAGTGTCGGCGAAGAGGAGCTCGCCGCCCGAGCTCAGAGGGATCTCGAAGAGTCTCGTGCGGAGGCCATCGAGACCAAGGCTGAGACAGAGGCAGGGACCGATGAGGTGGAAGGGCCAGATGGATCCAGAGCACTTGGAGAAGCAAGGCTATGTTGCTTAGGAAAACTTGGAAGGATGATGAGGATGTTTCATTTGAGCTCTTCAGGGATGTTTAGCTCATTGAGAATTCCCAAGGGTTTTCCATCATCTCAGGTCCACTGCGTCCCGTGAATCCACGGACTCCATGACCGACCCAGTCAGGACTTGCGCGCTACGGTCATGGCCTTGACCGCTGAGCTCCAGGTAGCACACCAGAAGGTGAGAATGTGTTTCATGGTCGTCAGAAGCTGGAAGAACCGGAATTTGAGCAAAATGCTCAAAAAATAATGTGTCATATATATATATATAGATAAATAGACACGCGCACACTCACTAGTCGGGCTGTGGGTCGGAGAATAGAAGTTGCTGCAGACATGTTGAATCTTGGATCCACTTTTTTGGGGTCCTGCCCATAGGTTCTAAGTACATATTTTGGGCTGATCTCTTTGCAGCCCAGCAGTTTGCAAAACCATGGAATGGCTGAGAGCTTATATTCCGAACTATAATGTTTGGGATCAATCGCTATTGGGCTGGAGGCCATTGCTCTTAGGTTGGAAGCATGTCCCTTCCAAGTCCTGCAGCACTTTCTTGACTCCAGTGATCGTCAATACATGTCCGGAAAGCTGACGATTCCAGGGAAGACCTGGTGACCAACTCTTTTATTTATATTTCAAGGCTTACGCCTAACAGCCGGGCGCCGGCCCACTTGGGTGTGTGGGGCGTATGTCACGCCTATGTTGGCCTTGGTGGGGCCTATATTGAGCAAAGTTAAGCTATTTGGTGCGCATCTTGGCCCTAGGTTGGGCCAAGTGGGGCCCATGTGGTGTATGTTGGGCACATCGTGGGCCCATGTTGAGCCTATGTTGGGCCTATGTTGGCCTATGTTAGGCCTATGTTGGCCTATGTTGGCCTGGGTTGGGCCTATGTTGGGCCTATGTTGGCGTCTGTTGGCCCCAAGTTGGCCTATGTTGGCCCTATGTTGAGCCATCTTGGAGGCTATGTTGGGCATATGTTGGGGATATGTTGGCTATCTTGGGCCTATGTTGGGGGTATGTTAGGCGATTTATGTTGATCTTGGGTTCCGATACAACGTTTTACGATTTTTTCCTTCCCGCAAAGCAAAAACACTGTAAAAACCTGCCTTTTTCGACATCACCGAGCTGAAATTCTCGGCTGCCGAGGGGCCCGAAACCCTGTAAAACACAGTGTTTTTATACCTCACACACACACGATACACTGTAAATTACAGGGGCTTCAGTGACCCGGTGGTCCCCCCGTTTTGATGACGAGGGTCGGCGGCAGGGGGCGCGCCCGTCTATAACCTTCGGTTACCACCGAAGGCCCTCCGGGCATGCCACGGGCGTCCTGGCCGGCGCCCGGATTTACCAGGCTACCGCCTGCAGCCGCCGACCCCAAGGGAAAATGTAGTGGCAGGGTTGGGTCCCGGGATGGTCGCGGGCGGGGTCCTGCCAAAATCTAGACAAAGCCAAGGGCCAAGAGCATTCCTACGAAAATGCTGCAAAAGCCGTATAGGCATGAGTACAACAATGGAAAAAATAGGTTAGCAAAAGGTTACCAATTTTGGGGGAAATCTGGGAACCTAAAAACAAGAGGAAGCGCTAGAAAATTCTTGGAAAAGCATCCAGCCGAAAACGTAACAAAATCTAGACAAAGCCTAGAGCATTCCTAGGAAAATGCTGGAGAAGCCATTGAAAATCCCATAAATCCAACAGAAAACGTGACAAAATCTACGAAAAAGCAAGGGCATTGGCCGGGACCACGCCGCGACCAGCCCAGGATTCGAGCCCGGGACCATTTTGGACCGTGCTTATTTTCCCGCACGGGTGGAGAGGGTGCCCCAAGATGTAAATCAATTGGGATGGCAGAATCTTGGACAATCCAGGTCGCTTTCAGGTCGCAATCCCGTCAAATCCCGTAGCTATCACGTCGCTTTTAGGTCGGGATTTCGTCACTGCAACAAGGGTCCGGAGGGGTAGGGGAGGTAAGGTCTAGGTCTAAGGCTAAGGACTAGGTCTAAGGCCAAGGATAAGGCTAAGGCTTAAGTCTAAGGCTAAGGCTTAAGGCTCGCCTCACCCCACGGTGTGGGGTCGGCGGATAAGAACTTATATAATTGGTCTAGTCACAAACATGCGAACAAAAGTCATCGAAAGCTAAGTGTGTGCATGTGTCACAACATAGAATGAGAAGGAGTTGAAGCTCAAGATGGGCATGCTAAAGTAGACAATCCGCAAGCCAAGCAAAACGGAAGGTCATAGTAGTTCATGGGAAGCTTTGCTGAGGAAGTATAGCATATCCAAGTATGGCAGGGTGCCTTCAGTATGCAACGCAATAGTGGGACTTAAAGCTGCTGTTGCTAACGGTGTTCAAAAGGTTCCAGATGTCCATACCTATTGTTTCTATTGGGGGTTGCGAATTACAGGACAGTACAGTCAAGCATTTGTGTGCATTTGTGCGTAAGTCACATCATTAGTCTTTACCACGGGAGTTTATCGGCTTATAGGTTCGAATCTTGTATGGTTCTAAAGGAAAACACGCGATGGTTCACATTAGTTTGATCACTGGTGTGTTCTCTTTACTTCGGCATGACACCGTGACATATCTGATATTTCTAGGTTGGCAAATAGGTGCAAATAGGCAAATAGGGTAACCTGATCCTGATTTGCTCAGAAAGGGTCAGAAGGAAATCCTTCGGAGACATTGTCCATCCAAACAGGAAAACATGGACAAGACTCAGCTCACCCATCATATGAAGAGAAAATGCCTTCAATTCGGACCAGACATGACGATCATGGGGATTGCCACCTTCAACATGAGTGAGAGGTGTTGAACCTGTGTGAACGAAGAATTAGTGGATTCTATGTGTTAAAACGGGTGAAACCGAACCTCACATCAAACGCAATCAAAGCGCTTGGCTTGGGGTCACAAGTAACCACTTGAATTACAGTATCCTGCCTTCACTGATCCAACGGCGTGTTTCACTCTTTAGCCACCCATGTCGCAGGCTGTTTGGGAAGAAGATCAACGGCAAGTCCTCCATCGGACCTTGAGCCTCGGCACGTTCAGCCATGACTTTCCCCCAAGCGAATAGGCTTCTCGAAGCTGCTGCAAAATGTACTGTACATTGGCGGCGTCCTGTAATGAGTGACGATGATGATGATGATGATGACGAGGAGGAGGAGGAGGAGGAGGATATGGATGATCTGATAGATGATGGTGAAGATGATTGAACTTTCATGTGCAGTCAGGAGGTGGATAAACATCATTTAACATCCATGCGGTCCATGCTTAGTTCCATGTTTTTCTTTGGTTCCTTGTTCGAGGAGGGCACACGCACTGTCCCTCTCAGGCACAAGGCCTTCCAATGCTCCCCCCCACACATGTTGAAGCTCCACTAGTCCAGTCCGACCGTGGTCGGACCGGGCTGCACCACACAAAGTGCAAGGCTGCAAGACTGTTTTGCAAAGGGAAGCTGCTTTATCTAGGAACTCACACCATGTGTAAGTGTGTGTGTCCACTCCTGTTTCCAAGGACACTACTCTAGTTTTTCTAATCTACCCTACCAGCTTTTCTGTACAGAAGCAGGGGGACAACCCCATGGATGCAGTTGGTTGTCCAACGAAGAGGGCTGCATTCCATGGCTGATATGATCCTGGGACGCTAGGATCACGTACCTGCAATTTTAATACTAATTTTGATTTTCAATCGCTGAGATTTCTAAGTCAGTGCAACGCCGTCTCATACGTTGTTTCCTGCAGTATCTAGATTTAAAGGGCTAATGCACACCGCGAAGCTACCTGAAATCACGCTCCACGGAGCAACCTTCTCAAGTGTGTCTTCGCAGCTTCTTCCCACTGTGGTGAGCTGTGTGATCCCTACGGGGCGCCGTTACCGCAAGAACCTGTTCACTCCTCACCGAGGGAGTAAGTTTCCTGAATTTTCTCTGAAGTCCCTTAGACTGAATTTGACCTGCTCGAAATCAGCTTGGATCGTCTCACCCAGCACACGTGAAGATTACTGCAGAGTTCACTGAAATCCTTTCTGAATCCCACTGCAGAGTTAACTGAAAGAGTTTCACCCGGAAATCCATTCATTCCTTTCAAATCTTTTTAACTTTCCAAGTTTTAATTCCATTTTCCAGAATTTAATTGCGGTTATTCAATACACTTCACAACTTTTTCGACCTCACGGACCTTTATTTATTTTCATACATACATACATATTTTCACTGTCTTTGACTTGCCGAGCAGCCATGACGTATCCCTGGCCCTATTCTTTGCCGCCACACATCCACCCACAACCACAACCTACACAACCCCATTGGATTCCATTTCCACCACAGGCTTCACCACAACCTTTTCCAACACTGCCACCGACTCCATCGCAACACCCAACCTCACATCACTACCCATTGCCCATTACACCTCCACCTCATGCTCAATACATCCAACCACATCAACTTCAAGCACATTTTCCAGTGCAACCTACGGCTCCCTTCGACACTACCCAACTTGCGCAACAACATCCACATCTCACAACTCAATCACCACAATCCCAAGCTCACACACATCTTACATTGCCACTTCAGTCTCAATCTCAACCTCAACCACCACCTCTACCTCCCCAACCGCATTTACCACATCTACCACATCAACTCCATCCATCACCACACACGACAAATCAAACCCCTGCCACAACATCTTTTCAACCACCACCACTACAAGCACCTGATGTACTACAAGCACCACCACCTGATCCAACAACAATCACTTCACAGCAGTTGACCACACCAACTCCACCACCACCACCTTACACTTCAACAACCTCACCAGCGACTACTCAACCTGCTTCAGCATCCATCAACACACCCGCACAGCCTCCGCCACCACAACACATTCCACGCACTACCAAGCCAACACCATCCATTGCACCCACACTCAGCACTACAAGAGGCATTTGGCGCGACCCAGATCGCTCACCACCACGCACACCTGAACACCACCGCTACTCAGCCTTTCCAGCCGTACCTTCCATTGCACCATCACAAGCTACATCCAGATCCAGGAGCCGCACTCGATCACTACGTACCACACGCTCTCCACTACCAAGACGTCGAAGCTCCGCCACACAATCCGTGGCTAGTTCTCAAGCTCAATCCAAACCTGCAGACAGACAAGCATCACAATCACCAGCAATCACCCAAGACAAAGCTCACACTTCCATCCAAAACATCACTACAGCTACTACTGCAAAACACACTCCAGAGCCACCTCGCCGTACTTCCAGCATTACACTCAAGCCCAACCCACATTTCACTCCCAAACATCCCACAAAACAGACACCTCCACCACCACCACCACCAGCACCAATACCTGCAATTCCAGTCCAACGTCGACCTCACAACTTGCCTCCTCCAACATTCCAACCACCCACTGATCCAGCACAATTGGATGTCTTCCAATGGCTCAACCGCTACGCACAAGCACTTGATGTCAAAAATGAACCCATGCTCTCCTACGTAGCCAAGGTGCTCAGTGCAGCTCATCTCAACAGCACCCACTTTACCGACCTACAACTTCTCACCCACAAAAAATGGAGCGATGACACCAACAAAGAAGAACATTATTCCTTCCTACTACTCACAATCCCCACATTAGCGAGCAGGGGCGACGCTCCGATTCTTCCTCCTACACGGAGAGAGGCGCTGAACATACCACCTATCAAACACATTTTTGCGGCACACGTTAGCGAGGAGGGCAACATTATTTCAATACTTGAAGCAGGAGAAATCGTGCGATCCATTCTGCATGATGATCACAATGTGGGATATTTTTGTCAGGCGTTCGAATTGTCGAACTACGAGCCCCATGATGCTGCTGAAGCTGCACGCGTCCTCTTCAATGCTTCCAACATGGCCAAGAACCGCAGCGGTCTCATTCTGACGATCAAAGCCTATGGACACGGCCAGAAAGTCACTCATGGTGGCGAATCCGCAGCGAATGACTTGCTGCTCAGAGGAGAGGGGATTGTAAAATACATCCCAGGAAAATGCTGGGTGGCCCATCCCAAACATTCCAGAATAGAAGGGATAGCTTGGAAAAGCGATGCAAAGCCACCGCTCAGTTTCATTTAATTCAATCTATTCAGCTCACGAGGTTCATTTTTCACCCCGTATCTTGGATGACGACCTAGCCTCAAACAATCTCAGCCAGCCTGCCTGATATTGATATTGACTCTGATTTTCTCCCACATCGTTGTCAACTTCCTTTTCTCCCGATATGTCATCCTTGTACAGATTGATGCCGACAACATGATCTTTTTTACGGTCACTTTTCCAATTTTCCAGACTTGCAGCATGTCAGCATTCCTGGTTGTTATCAAGCTTTTCGAAGAGAGTCACAAGCATTTCGAAGAGAGTCGCAAGATTTCCTGTGAGTTGCAACCTGCCCCGCAGCCATTTTGTATTATCTTGAATATTGAGCTCGATCCCTGACGACCAGCCGAGCTATATTTGCCTCCCGACGACTACCACGATGATGACTTCCCCTTTGGACACAGCATTTGCCCATCGACTTCTTTTAGCACACCTTCAAGCAGCCACCTCCATTGCTACTACTTTTCAAAACCTTCCACCATTTACACCGCAACTACCACAACAAGCACATCACCCACTCACTACCACTCCACCTTCTCCCCAAAGACCTGCCAGACGCACTCCTCCACCACTGCAACCACAGCCGTCTTTCTCACGCAGCCGCAGTCCGCCTCCCGCCAAAGGCAAACCATTCATGGAGTGCAAACCAGAACCTTCTCCTTCACATACGCCCACTTCACCACATCAGTTTTCACCACACCGCCACAAGTCCAAAGCGACTCACCAACACAAGAACAATACAGACCTCCAGGAACAGCGTACACCACCAATCATAACGATTTCTCTCACCAGTTCGCCCAATTCACCTCCACAAACATCACCAGTTCCACCGATTCCGCCACTACCCACACCAATACCACCTGCATCACCAGTACCACCATCCAAACCAGCACACCTCCTCACGGATTCACCACACTATCCTGACAATGGAGGATGGGAACCCAGTGAAGATGAAAAACTTGCGGCCTTTAAACTCAACAAACGATCTCGCCCCAGTTGGAAATACATAGCAAAAGCACTCAACAAAACACCTTTTGACTGCAAAGGTCGATGGCAAGTCTTGCGAATTCTTTATACACCTCAACAGCCAGACAGTCCAGAAGCAGAAGCATCATCACCACACAAGGCATCTCAACAAGCAGAGGCAACTCCTCCAGCCACAAAAGATGCCAGTACGATGACTACAGAACCTCCGGATCTGACTGACAAAGAGACATAGAATACACAACAGCAGTCTATGATCGTCCAGACAGTGCTTTCCACGACTTCTTGGTGCTGAAGAACATCCCGAACTATTGATGCCTTTGTACTGTATTTTATTGTCAATTCGTACATATTTACATATTGGCTTATTGCTTTTTGTCGTTCCAGCAGTTGCGAGCAATAGACTCCAACCCACAACACACCATTACAGCTTTCTTCCACACGCGCAGCAAAAAACAAGATCGGTCGCCAGCAGTGCACATTTTGCTTGAACACTTGCCACACACAACAAACTCTCGACCACTGCAGCATCGCCAATACTGTGTACAGACCAGTTTATTCCGTCTAATTCATCGTTTCATTGCATCCATACGAATCACTATCGAATGGTCTCCCTATTGTTGAACCGGATGAACTTATCGTTTCCAAGTTTTTCTTTTGGGTGATTTTGACCGCGTTTACGTCTCCATTTTGATGTATTTGCAGCTCGGCTAGTTCAACTTAGCTCAGCCTTTCTTTCTTGTACAGTTTTTTCTCGACGACGACATCGCGATGGATTCAGATCCTGTTGGGACAGCCCTCGTTGCCTTGGATGCCCAGATCATTTCACAACTGCGAGATACAAACATTCAGATCAACCGGCTGATGGTCCTTCAACTCAATCGACTACATGATACTATTCGACAGCTAC